TGGGAACTCTGTATTTTCTGCTCAGTTATGCTGTATACCTGAAACTGCTCTAAAAAAATAAAGTCTGTTAACAAAAAACAACAAAAAAGGAAAAAAAAACAGATAAGATGGGCATTGATTGGCTTTTGTGCCTCTAAAATGTAAGTTCTATATTAACTTTAGTATTTGGACTTAATACTGGGGCTCAAGCTCTAGTTACACCTGTGAACACATCATATTTAAGCAATGGACGCCTACAGTCTTAGAAGATAACTAAATATAAAATAGAGGAAAAACTACATATGCCTCAGAGTCTTGCCTAAATTTCCCAAACGCACGATACCCATTGCCTTAAAATATTACATACTAATTACAGACACTCTAAAACAACTGATAAGTTAAAATTAAAGTGAGCTTTGGCACTTAAAAAATTAACTTGACAAGGTGGGGAAGGGTATAGCTCAAGTGGAAGAGTGCGCACTTAGCACGCATGAGGTCCTGGGTTTAATCCTCAGTACCTCCATTAAATAAATAAGCAGACTTAATTCCACCCACCTCCCAAATTTTTTTTTAAATAACAGAAAAGAAAAAAAAAAGAGGGAGAGAAAAATTTCTCTCTTAAAAACAAACAAAAAAAATAACTTGATAAAATGGGACCCATGGAATCCTAGCTAAGATAGTAAATATGGTCTCATATAAGTTAAACAGGGCTTTCAAAGATGAAAACTTATTATATAAAATCTAATAAAGGGGTGATTATCCCCAATATTTCTCCATCTTACAGCCCAATTTTGCTGTTCTTAAATCTGGAAAAAATAAAGGGCTTCTCCATGATGGATAACTACAATCTTAACACTGTGGTCCCATCCATCAAAGCCCCACACTCAATAACCAGTATTACTAAAATTGCTGACTCTGCGCAGTCAAAACCAGTAATATTTTACTCTTGAAGATTTGGCTAATATGCTCTGTTCAGTGCCTGCTTCAAAGGCCGCTCAACTGCAGATTGCCTTTACCCCCAGAGGGACAAAACATACCTTTTTGGAACTACCCATCTAAGACCTCAGCAGCTCTGCCATCACACACGATCTTAGCAGACGAGGCCTCCACGGCATCCACCTTTCTCCAGGAGCACAGGTATAACAGCATATTGATAACATCCTCTTCCAAGGAAATTCACTTGACACACGTATCAAAGATGTGTGAATTGGGGGTGGGGGTGTACAGCTCAGTGGTAGAGCAAGTGCTTAGCATGCAGGAGGTCCTGAGTGCAATCCCCAGTACTTCCATTAAAAACAATAAAGTGAAATAAAGTAAAAAATTAAAAAATAGAAACAAGACTATTTTAAAAAAGGATATATAAGTCCAAAAGCTTAAGAGTACTTTTTGTGTTCCAGTGGCATGTTATTCCTCATTTGTAAATTTTACTTTCAAATTAAAGTCCACGAACACTCCTGTTAGTACCCTCAGACACACCGTCACACACACATCCTGCCTCCTGGGACTTTCTGAACAACTTATGGTGGCTATAAGCTGGCCAAAGGCTGCTTCTGCTTTTTTTTTTTGGGAGGGGAGGTATTTTTTTATTAGGCTTATTTATTTATTTATTTTTATGGCCATACTGCCCAAGGCAATCTACAGATTTAATGAGATCCCTATCAAATTACCCAGGACATTTTTCACAGAACTAGAACAAATAACTCTAACATTTATATGGAATCACAAAAAACCCAGAATTACCAAAGCAATATTGAAGAAAAAGAACAAAGCTGGAGGAATAATCCTCCCAGACTTGAGACAATACTACACAGCTACAGTAACGATAACAGCGTGGTATTGGCATAAAGACAGACATATGGATCAATGGAACAGAACAGAGAGCCCAGAAATAAACCCACACACCTACGATCAATTAATCTTTGACAAAAGAGGCAAGAATATACAATGGAGAAAAAGACAGTCTCTTCAGCAAGTCGTGTCGGGAAACCTGAACAGCAGCGTGTAAATCAGCGAAGTCAGAACACTCCCTCACACCATATACAAAAATAAACCCAAAATGGCTTAAAAATTTAAACATAAAACAAGACATAATAAAACTCCTAGAAGAAAAAACATCAGTAATACATTATCTGACATAAATCTCAGCAATGTTCTCCTAGGGCAGTCCACCCAGGCAATCAAAATAAAAACAAAAATAAACAAATAGGACTTAATTAAACTTACAAGCTTTTGCACAGCAAAGGAAACCATAAGCAAAACAAAACGACAGTCTACAGACTGGGAGAAAATATCTGCAAACCATGCAATTGACAAAGGCTTAATTTCCAGAATATATAAACAGCTCATACATCTTAATAAAAAAAAAAATCCAAAAATGGGCAGAAGACCTAATCAAGCAATTCTCCAATGAAAACATACAAATGGCCAATAAGCACATGAAAATATGCTCAATATTGCTAATTGTCAGAGAAATGCAAATCAAAACTACAATAAGGTATCACCTCACACCAGTCAGAATGGCCATCATTCACAAGTCCACGAACAATAAATGCTGGAGAGGGTGGGGAGAAAAGGGAACCCTCCTATACTGTCGGTGGGAATGTAGTTTGGTGCAGCCATTATGGAAAACAATATGGAGATTCCTTAAAAAACTAAAAATAGACTTACCATATGATCCAACAATCCCACTCCTTGGTATATATCTAGAGGGAACTCTAATTCACACGCACCCCAGTGTTCATAGCTGCACTACGTACAATAGCCAAGACATGGAAGCAACCTAAATGTCCATTGACAGATGACTGGATAAAGAAGTAGTGGTATATTTATACAATGGAATACTACCCAGCCATAAAAAAGAATAAAATTATGCCCTTTGCAGCAACATGGATGGACGTGGCAATCATCCTTCTAAGTGAAGTAAGCCAGGATAAGAAAGAAAAATATCATGTGATATCACTTATATGTGGAATCAAAACAAAAACAAAAACCACACACAAATGAGCTTATTTACAAAACAAAGACAGACTCACAGACATAGAAAATAAATTTATGGTTACTGAGGAGCGAGGGGAAAGGGGTGGGAAGGGATTAACTGGGAGTTCAAAATCTGCACCTCTCGGGGAGTGACAGAAATGTTAGGTATCTTAATTGTGATGGTGGTTTCATAGGTGTACACACCTATCAAGATTCTTCAAATTGTACATCTGAAATACGTATAATTTACTGTATACAAATTATACCACAATAAACTTGTTCGAAAAAAGTAAAATTCTAGTCTGGCAACCAAACCCCTGGGAGTCTCTATCTTGCTCCAGGCCATTTGGCTGGCTCATACCTCACACCAACTTCAGTAATTTTCCCATTGTCTCTTCTATATTGAATGGGAGACATGTTTCACTTCCACGTATAGGAAGCCCTTTATGCCTCTCCCTATCTTCATAAAACTTGATCTTGCTCATCCCATAAGGGCTGAAGGCAAGATGGAGGGCACTGAGACCCTTCATCCACAGTTTATGACCTGGACTATGTAGCTACTCATTTGAGCCTAAACATCCACCACAAAAACAAAATCCTGATCCAGCAGAGCCACTCCTGGGCATTTATCTGAAGGAAACAAAAACAGTAACTCAAAAAGATTCATGCCTTCAGGGGGTGGGAAGGGATAAACTGGGACTTCAAGATTTGCAGATACTTATTACTATATACAAAATAGAAACAAGTTTACACTGTATAGCACAAGAAAGTATATTCAGTATCTTGTAGTAACTTATGGTTAAAAAGAATATGAAAACAAATATATGTATGTTCCTATATAACTGAAGTATTGTGCTGT